TTGGGAGAAAATCACATAGTTGTGGCAGTATCACAGGGTTTTTCCTGAAAAAAAAAAAAAAACACAAAAAACTCCAACATGCTCATCATTCGAAGGACTGTGTGTCTATGAACTGGCTCAGGTCTAGGGATTGAGCAAGAAGAGCCATTCATTACTTTCCATTCTTGTCATTTAAATTGGACCTCTGTTTACCAGACCCAAGGGTTTTATTTATTTAAAAATGTAACTCTAGGAAGACTTAGAGTAGTTGCTCATCTATTTTAGTTCTACAATCATTGTGATCAATTAACTACAACCGGATTGTTGTGAGTCAAATCCTTTGATTCTATATCTGGCCCTATTGTCAATAACAGTAACAATGACCACCTTGTGTCTGGGGGTTAAGCACTGCCACTTGACCTCTGACACTCTGTGGTACCATCATCTGCATGAAAATCAGGGAGCCATTCCAACATTGGCACCTCCCACCATTATCCTCAGCATTATAGAGCATTTCAAGGAATCTGGTGCTTTCTCACCAGCGTATTTGGGAAAGCCTTGCTGAAGAGAGTGCCTTTAGGATTTCCATGGTTATAATGTTGGTGAGCAGGTCACCCATGACAAATCCACTCCAAATTTTCTACCTACTTAAGCTTTGGATTCCTCCTTCCCCTTATGCTAAAGAAGTATGGCACTTTAATGCCATTTAATATAGGTTACTGTTGGGTCCAAGTTTCAGTCAGCCAACAAGCAAAGTCACTCTTAGATATTCTAAACACATTAAATCCTGAATTTCTGATAAGTGAATTCATATCAATAAATTCATCTTATTCAACATTACAGCTGACCCTTGAACAACATGTTTGAACTGCATGAGCCAACTTATATGCAGATGTTTTTCAATAAATATGAATATATTGGGAAACTTTCTGCAGATTTTCCATAATTTGAAAAAACTCACAGATGAACCCTGTAGCCTAGAAATGTCAAAAAAGTTAAGAAAAAGGTATGTCATGAATGCATGAAATCTATGTAGATATCAGTCTATTTTATCATTTACTAACATAAAATATACACAAATCTATTATAAAAAGTTAACATTTATCAAAATATACACACAAACACAGATGTACATGGCCCCATCTGCAGTCAAGAGAAATTACATTTAATACTGCAAAAGTAAAGATACAGCATTAAATCATAACTGCATAGTAAGTGTAGTAGGTACTGTACTACTATAATAATTTTGTAGCCACCACCTGTTGCTATAGCAGTGAGCTCAAGTGTTGCAAGTATCCACTTAAAACACTATGTGATGCTAATCATCTCCACATGAACAGTTCATTGCTCCAGTAAATTGCATATTGAAGTAAAAAGTGATCTCTCGTGGTTCTCAAGTATTTTTCATCATGTTTAGTGCAATACCATAAACCTATAATAACACCAAGAGACCCATACAAAGTGATGCTGGAATTGCTCCCAAGAAGCAGAGAAAAATTATGACATTACAAGAAAAACTTGAATTGCTTTATATATACCATAGATGAAGTCTGCAGCTGTGGTTGCATGCCATTTCAAGATAAATGAATCCAGCATAAGGACCATTATAAAAAAAGAAAAGGAAATTCATGAAGCCATCACTGTAACTATGCCAGTTGGCACATAAACCTTGCACACTCTATGAAATACCTTTTTATTATCTCATATTGAAAATGCAGCTTTTATATCTGTGCAGGTTTGCTATAAAAAAGGCATACCTATAGACTCTAATATGGTTCAAGAAAAAGAAGTTATTATATGACAACTTAAAGCAAAAGGAAAGTGAAGAATGTAAAGCTGAAGAATTTCATGCCAGCAAAGGATGGTTTGATAATTCTAGAAAAAGCTTGGCTTAAAAAATGTCAAGATAACAGGAGAAGCAGTTTCTGCTGACCAAGAGGTGGCAGAAGAGTTCCCAGATACTGTTAAGAAAAATCATTGAAGGTAGGCCAGGCGCGGTGGCTCATGCCTGTAATCCTAGCACTCTGGGAGGCTGAGGCGGGCGGATCACTCAAGGTCAGGAGTTCAAAACCAGCTCTGAGCAAGACCCTGTCTCTACTAAAAATAGAAAGAAATTAATTGGACAACTAAAAAATATATATATACAAAAAATTAGCCGGGCATGGTGGCACATGCCTGTAGTCCCAGCTACTTGGGAGGCTGAGACAGGAGGATTGCCTGAGCCCAGGAGTCTGAGGTTGCAGTGAGCTAGGCTGATGCCATGGCACTCACTCTAGCCTGGGCGACAAAGTGAGACTCTGTCTCAAAAAAAAAAAAAAAAAAAAAGAAAAGAAAAGAAAATCATTGAAGGAGAAAAGATATCTGCCTAAACAGTTTTTGAATGCAGACAAAAGTACCCTATTCTGGAAAAAATGCTATAAAGGACATTTATTAGTAAGAAAGAGAAGTGATCACCAGGATTTAAGGCAGGAGCTCTATTGTTTTGTGCAAATTCAGTAGATTTATGATCAGGATGGCCCTTATCTAATCTAAAGCTGCTAAACCCTGAGCCTTGAAGGCAAAAGATAAATACCAACTGCCAGTCTTTTGGTCGTACAAGAAGAAGGCCTAGCCAACGAGAACCCTTATTCTGGATTGGTTCTATTGTCCCTGAAGTCAACAAGTACCTTGCCAGTAAGAGACTGCCTTTTAAAGTTCTTTAGATATTGTACAATGCACCTGGCCTCTCGGAACCCCTTGAGTTCAACACCAAAGGCACTGAAGTAGTCTACTTGCCCCAGATCAGAGGATGAATAGGACATTTAAGGCTCATTACACATGATATTCTATGGAGAGAATTGTTAACAATATTGGGGAGAACACTGATAGAACATCTTGAAAGTCTGGAAGGATTACACCATTGAAGGTGCCATCATTTTTATAGAAAAAGCCATGAAAGCCATCAAGCCTGAAACAATAAATTCCTATTGGACAGAACTGTGTCCAGATATTGTGCATGACTTTACAGGATTTATGACAGAATCAATCAAGGAAATCATGATAGAGATTATGGATATGGCAAAAAAGGTGGGGGAGGGGAGGTGAAGAGTTTCAAGATAAAGATCTTAGAGAAATTCAAGAGCTAATAGACCCATACCTGAGGAATTAACAGGAGAAGACTTGATGGAGATGAGTGCTTCCAAACCAGTGTCAGATGATGAGGAAGAAAATATAGAAGAAGCAATGCAAGAAAACAGATTGACATTAGACAATTTGGTGGAAAGGCTCTTACGCAAGACTGCTTTTGACTTTTTTTTACAACATATGGAGCCTTCTCTATGATATGGGCCCTGACACTATAGCAAACAATGAAAGGATTGTTACTATATAGAAACATTTTTAGAAAAATGAAAAAGCAAGAAAGTCAGACAGAAATTATCATGTGTTTTTGTAAAGGTACACCAAGTGTGCCTGCCTCTTCTGCCTCCCCTTCCACCTCCTCCACTTCTTCCAACTCTGCCACCCCTGAGACGGCAAGACCAACCCCTCCTTTTCCTCAGCCTACTCAACGTGAAGATGATGAGGATGAAGACCTTTATGATGATCCACTTCCAATTAATGAATAGTAAATATATTTCCTTTTCCTTATGATTTTCTGAATTTTTTCTCTACCTTTACTGTTAGAATACAGTATATAATATATATAACATACAAAATATGTATTAATAGACTGTTTATATTATTGGTGAGGCTTCCAGACAACAGTAAGCTATTAGTAGTTACATTTATGGGGAGTCAAAAGTTATATGCAGATTTTCAACTGCATGGGGGTCAGCACCCCTAACCCACATGTTGTTCAAGGGTCAACTGTGTATTCCTTCCTCCCGAGTATAATTCCCTACAAATACATTCCTATATATACTCCTAGGGATTCTGCCAATTTAAGTTGGCAAAATCTTGCCATTCTTTCAATGTGACAGTCCCTAGGTCAGTCCCTACACTCAACCCCCCACTGCCTGAGGTGGATCCAACTGTGGTTATAGGATTGGAGGCAATGAGAAGTGGTAGTAGAGAGTTGGGTCTTGAGGACAATAGACTTCCCCTTACACGGTAACTGCCTCAGTTGAAAGCAATGCAGAATCCTCAAGATCCCTCTCCTTAGACAGCAGAGGAAGGACTGCTTATGCTGGCAAGAGAGGCTCAGTGAAATTCAGAGCCCCAGGGAGCTCGACATCATTGGAGTCCCTCAGATGTCTTCATTCCCAATGCGCAGGTTTTCATGCGTTCTCAAAGCCCTGTTTTTCACATGAGAGACCTGGCAAGACTATGAAATCACTTAGTGCTGTAATTCTGCAGTCCACTTGATGATATTTGGGATTTGGTTTGGGGGCACACTGGCCTTTTGGCTACAAGAGTTCTTTTTGGGCACTCACAGAAGCTCTCTGGTTCTCTGTACCTTGTTCCAGTAATTAAATCCCCAAGTCAGACATTTTCTTCTAAGCTCATCAATGTAGATGTGGCTAGCCCACCTCACAATCCTTATTCTCACTTCTACTATAACATTCTTTGCATCAGTCAGGTGGTCTTCCAAAGCACTTCATTACCAGCAACTATCCGTGATGATATAATCAACACTTTTGACATGGATTGCTAGTACTTGTGATAAGTACCACCTTCCAATCTCACCAGGTCAGATAGCCAACTTTGAGTTTCTATTCACTGCAGCCACTTCTAATACTTTGTCAGGCTTAAGCAGGAGACAGCTTTTTCTTTATGTACCCAAGCTGGAATATTTTTAATATAGTGAATTCAAGGTTTACAAAATTATTAGGAAGGCTTGGGGAGCAAAAGTAAAGAAAAATAGCTACTGGCTTTCAGGAAATCTGTAAGTACAAAAATCCCATGAAGCTATTGTGATCTCAGAAGCTAGAGTGATTACAGTCAGAAGCTTGTTTCAGCAGAAAGGCTTTGCCAATTTACATTTCCTAACATTATACCTTTGCCAACACAGAGTATTCTCATTATTTTTTAATGTTTTTCAGCATATCCAGAGCAATAAGGAATTGTCAGAGAAGTTGTCTGGGTTACAGCAAGAAAAGGAAGCTCTACATGAAGAATATGGGCAATTTTTGAAGCAGCTCGATGTCCATGTGAGGTAAAGAAAAACAAGTTCCCTTTGGAAGAAAACTAGTAATTATTTCTTGCTGAGCCTGCTCCAGGGCTAAATAGTGGGGTGCCCACTGAAGTAACCTTTCAAGAGGGCCCAATCCCTGATGAATGTTATTTCCATGTGTGCACGCAAGTGTTGATCCATTAGTACCAGTTAGTACCTGTGGTGTTTGTTTTTCCATTCTTATGATACTTCACTTAGAAGAATGGGCTCCAACTCCATCCAGGGTAATACAAGAGGTATTAGTTCACCATTTTGGCTGGGCACGGTGGCTCACGCCTGTAATCCTAGCACTCTGGGAAGCTGAGGCAGGCAGATCATTTGAGCTCAGGAGTTCGAGACCAGCCTGAGCAAGAGCGAGACCCCATCTCTACTAAAAGTAGAAACAAATTAATTGGCCAACTAAAAAAAAACAACAAAAAAAAACACATATATATAAATTAGCCTGGCATGGTGGCTCATGCCTGTAGTCCCAGCTACTCGGGAGGCTGAAGCTGGAAGATTGCTTGAGTCCAGGAGTCTGAGGTTGCTGTGAGCTAGGCTGACACCATGGCACTCTAGCCTGGGCAACACAGCGAGACTCTGTCTAAATAGAAAATTTTCTAATAGGAAATTAGCCAGGCATGGTGGCGCATGCCTGTAGTCCCAGCTATTCGGGAGGCTGAGGCAGCAGGATCGCTTGAGCCCAGGAGTTGGAGGTTGTGTGAGCGAGGCTGACGCCAGGGCACTCTATCCTAGGCAACAAAGCGAGACTCTGTCTCAAAAAAAAAAGAAGAGGTATTAGTGCACCATTTTTTTTATGGTTGAGTAGTACTCCGTGGTATAGATATACCACATTTTATTAATCCACTCATGTATTGATGGGCACTTGGGCTGTTTCCACATCTGCAATTATGAATTGTGCTGCTATGAACATTCAAGTGCAGATGTTTTATTATAGAATGTCTTTTTTTCCTGGGTAAATACCCAGTAGTGAGATTGCTGGATCAAATGGTAGTTCTACTTTAGTTCTTTCAGGTACCTCCATACTACTTTCTATAGAATTTCACTAGGTTGTAGTCCCACCAGCAGTGTATGAATGGTCCTATGTCCCCACATCCACACCAACATTTGTTGTTTTGGGACTTTTTGATAAAGGCCATTCTCACTGGAGTTAAGTGATATTTCATTGTGGTTTTGATTTGCATTTCCCTGATGATTAGAGATGTTGAACATTTTTTCATATGTTTGTTTGCCATTAGTCTATCTTCTTTTGAAAAGTTTCTGTTCGTGTCCTTTGCCCACTTTTTAATGGAGTTGTTTGATTTTTTTTCTTGGTGATTTGCCTGAGTTAGAACTATGGATCTTAAAAAGTGTTGACAAACATTTGGAAGTATCCTACCAAATTGTTCTGCCATCATTATATAAGAGTAGCAATTTTACCACATCCTCATTAGTGCTGGATAATATTATTGATGGAGAGGGATCTCTGATGAAATTTACCCCAATATTCTATGTTTTAATTGAAGTATAATTTGCATATAATAAATGCAAAGATTTTTTAAATGTACAAGTGGATGAATTTTGATAAATATATGTGCCCACAATACCACCACCCCCAATCAAGATACAGAACATTCTCATTATCCCTTCACGTCCTCTCCTTCCTGTTCCACCCTCCTGCTCCCCCCACCTCCCTCCAGGCAGCCACTTTTCTGACTTCTGCCTCTCCTAGAATTTCATCTAAATGGAATCATACTGCATGTAACCTTTTATGTTTGACTTCTTTTGCTCAACGTACTCTATTATTTTCATGTGTACTTATTGTCAGAAATTGCTCGTCACTTTATTTTGAATTTGTTTGATGGCCAGTGAGGCTCAATATTTTCTATGTTATTTGTACACAGCCTTTTAGGGCAGTGGATCCTTACTCTGGGTGTACATGCCTGGGCTCCAGTATAGATGAATTAAATCAAAACCTGTGGACACAGGGCCTGTAGATCAGTATTTTTCTAAAAGCGTCCTCATGTGATTCTATTTTTTTTTTTTTTTCTTGCTCTTAGTACTACCCAACTCATGTGATTCTAATGTGCATCCAGGGTTGAAAATGACAGATTTAGGAAAGAAAAAGGAAGGAATTGTCAAAACTCTAAATTCATTTTTGTTTTCATTCCCCTAATCCCTGTCTTGACCTTTACAGACAATGCTTATTGTTTACATGTTTTCCCAACCACTTTTTCAGAGCAACAAATTCCTTTCCTTTTTGAAATCAAAGTAATAACAATCTGGTTATACTTAAACACAGCTAAAGGCTGTCCCTAAATTTTGGAACATAAGTATTGTGCTGTCTCATAACACTAATAGTTAACAAAAAGCTCCCTCGAAGGTGGAGAAATTAAAAAAAATCTTTTTTAAAGAAGAAGAAAAAAGCCACAAATAAACATAGCAAATCTACAGGTTCTTTGGGGATATTGGCCAACAGAACTTCAGACCAAACCAATAGCTGTGCCAAATAGCCAGCCAGCAACAAGGAAAGGCTCTAAGTTCTCTCCAGCTGTCTTACATCAACATACTTTTTAACCAAGCATAACACTACAGGGAGAAACCTGAATACCAAATAATAGGAGACTAGTTATTATAACTAGTGTATTAGAACATTCACGTAATGGGACATAATATAGCTGTAAAGGATGATGGCTATGAATACTAGATCACATGAGAAAATGCTTGTGGTATAATAAAAGAGTGTAAAGTAACATTTTAATGTAGACAATGTTTAAACAAAAGATACTTATAAAAAGGAATAGAAGGAAATACAACAATATCATAGTACTGATCATATTGGGAGTTAGAGATTTTCCCAAATTTTCTATAACTTATCCTCTTAAAGAACACATTTATTTTTTAATTATCCAAATGGCAGAATAATAGAGCAGCTGTCTGGCATGGGAAGCTAGAGACTTGGGTTGTAATATTCCAGTACAGGATAAGTAAAAGAAATTTCAGAAGTACATTTTTTTTTTTTTTTTTTTGAGACAGAGTCTCGCTTTGTTGTCCAGGCTAGAGTGAGTGCCGTGGCGTCAGCCTAGCTCACAGCAACCTCAAACTCCTGGGCTCAAGTGATCCTTCTGCCTCAGCCTCCCGAGGAGTAGCTGGGACTACAGGCATGCGCCACCATGCCCGGCTAATTTTTTATATATATATCAGTTGGCCAATTAATTTCTTTCTATTTATAGTAGAGACGGGGTCTCGCTCTTGCTCAGGCTGGTTTTGAACTCATGACCTTGAGCAATCCGCCCGCCTCGGCCTCCCAAGCCCGGCCCAGAAGTACATTTTGTGTTTTAACATATTAACTGCCATGAGAGTTGTATTTAATTCTAGTTTTGACCCCAGGGCCACGTGAAACATATATAAAATCTTGTCGATGATCTTATTGTTACAGTTAATATTGACAATTCTAAAAATGTGGATTAAACAAATAGAAGTCAATAAATTTCATTTTTCTATTTATATTTACCTTTAAACTATACTCAAAGTTTTTATTCTATTTTTGTAATAAAACACTGTGGCCCCGAGGAAAACTTTTTGGTTATTTTTTGTGTGGAAGTCAATGTGTTAAATGATGCCAAAACATCAAAGCAACTGTGAACAGCTGGGAAACCCAGAGGACAACAGGTAGGTTGTTTGTACACTGCTGGATCTTACATCTCTGAAGCTATGGACTGGAGGATGCTGAAACCCAGTTATATCTTTTACCAACCATTCCTAATTAAAGGAAAATGAGTACATTTATGAGATGGAAATATTTTCTTAGAAATAATCTAAGTCACAGTGGTAGTTGTGAAAATCTGCAGAAGATATACTATATTACGTAGTGGTTGCTGGTGGTACCTCCATGTGTCAAAAGCTTGGGCTCCTTCTATCTTGTTGTTGCTCCAGCATCTTTAACATGTTACCCTTAGCCAAATATTAATAGTTCAAGATAGTTCACTACCATAGCCACATTCCAGCCAATAAGAAGAAGAAAGAGGGGAAGGCAAGGAATTCTACTTTCTTTTAAGGCACACTACTTTCACTCACATTCTGTTGGCCAGAACTTAGATGGCCTCATCTAGCTGTAAGGAAAGCCAGAAAATGTAGTTCTTATACTGGGCACACCAGTGCCCATTGTTACCAAACCAAACTGAGGTCAACTCACCTGGTACAGTAAAGCCAAACACTGACCCTGAGATTTGCAGTGGGAGAAAAGGGACATTTATTACACGGTGCCAAGCAAGAAGCGCAGGCAGCTAACACTTAAGACTCCTCAATGGCTTACAGGCAAGGATTTTTAAAAGAAGGGGTACATTTGAGGAAAGCAGAAATTTCAGGCAATATTGTAAACCAATACAAGAGGTTATACATCGGTTTGGCCCCGAAAGGTAGGATATCTGGAAGCGGGTGCTTATGGGTTATAGGTAGATTCAGAGATTCTTTGATTCCTGTGGGTGCGACTTCCAGGCCCCTCAGGAAGAAATTTAGAACAAAGAATGTGTCCAGAGTTCAGTCCTCAGCTCCTCCTTATCAGAGGTCAACCTGATAGCATTTTCCATGTGGTGGGGGTTTCTGAAGAACAACTCAGGAATATATGTTAAGGTGTTATCTTTTGGTATTTTATAGAGAACCAAAACACCTTGTGACTCAGCTCAGGCTGGGAGACTGTTGTTACTATAGTCTTGCTCAGGGGTCCTCAAACTTTTTAAACAGGGGGCCAGTTCACCGTCCCTCAGACCGTTGGAGGGCCGTTGGAGAGTGCGGCGCACATTCCACACATGCGCACCGTGGGCCCCGGACGAGTCAGCTGCTAAGCAGGACAGGCAGCCGCGGCAAAAACACGCGGCAGGCCGGATAAATGTCCTCCGCGGGCCGTAATTTGAGGACCCCTGGTCTTGCTTGTCAGGTTTTGCTCATTTACTTTTCAAAGCTAGCAGGTACCTGGAATTTCCCTTAAAGGAACTCAAGATTTTTCCTCTATTTCCATGTTTGGGGGACCCAGCAGACTCCTAACAGGGGTCTCTGCTCTGTCTCACTACTGGGTGTAAAGTGGTTTCTCATTGTGTTTTTCTTTCTTTTTTTTTAATTTTTAAATATTTCATCCTATGCCTTCTTCATTAGGGCCTGTCTCATTGTGTTTTTGATTTGCATTTTTAAAATGGTTGATATATATATATATTTTTTTAATTTATTTTTATTTTTTTTTTTGAGACAGAGTCTCACTTTGTTGCCCAGGCTAGAGTGAATGCTGTGGCGTCAGCCTAGATCACAGCAATGTCAAACTCCTGGGCTCAAGCAATCATCCTGCCTCAGCCTCCCAAGTAGCTGGGACTACAGGCATGCGCCACCATGCCCACTAATTTTTCTGTATATATTAGTTGCCAATTAATTTCTTTCTCTATTATAGTAGAGACAGGGTCTTGCTCTTGCTCAGGCTGGTTTCGAACTCCTGACTCGAGCGATCCTCCCGCCTTGGCCTCCCAAAGTGCTAGGATTACAGGCATGAGCCACCTCACCCGGCCAAAATGGCTGATATATTAAGTGTCTTTTCATGTGCCTATTGGTGGTAACTTAGATTTATGTCAGAATGAGATTCTTGAGCAGGGACCTATATAAAATTGACATTTAGAAGTTGGACTCAATGCAAGGATTAAGAACAGACCCAGTCATTTGGAAATGAGATAAGATTGAAGTGGGTATATCATTATCCAAGGGTATAGCCAAGAACTAGGGAATTTTAAATTAATGACTGAATCAGTGGGGCAGGATTAAGAATTTAGATGACAGGGGACAGAAGTCAAAGAGTTTCCTAAACTAAACTCAGATGCTAAACCTGTATCACAACCATCAGTTCAAGACCAAGGTAAGCCAAATATTTGAGTCCTTAGGAGTGATAAAAGCTGGTGTTATGTAGAGAGATATCCTTGGTCCATTCCCCAACGTGGGGACAAGAAGATTCAAGGAAAGACAAGTATTCACTGAGTTAAATAAGAAGAGGAAACCCAAGAAAGGTGCATATTGAGGAGGCAAAATAAATTTTAACTGTGTTCAGGTGTGCCTATACTCAAATTTACTTTTATAGAAACTACAATGAGAGACATCACCAGCACAAAGCCAAGCTTCGAAAAGTCAAGGATCATTTAACTCATGAAGTGGAACTACGAGATGAGAGAATTGAACAACTTGAAAGAGAAATTGGAACACTGCAACAACAAGTGGAAAAGGTGAGAACAAAAATAAAGGTGAAGAATTCACCAATGGTGTTAGTGGTTGGCCATTTAGAGAAGACCCACTCATTTTTAGAATTATCTGTAGCCCCTTCATAGACCTTGTTTTCATTTCTTTTCTTTGCACCATCTTTCAATATGCGTAATTCTTTATGCCCTGCCAAAAAATGTGTATGTAAGACACATAGTGTTGCTAAACCAAATTGGACACTGAAAATATCCTGTACTGCCAACTTATGATCCATGTGTTGCCTTCATGCTTTTTTTTTTAAGAGGTAGGGTCTTGCTCTGTGGCCAGGCTAGAGTGCCATGACACAATCATAGCTCACTGAAGCCTTGAACTCCTGGTCTCAAGCAATCCTCTGGCCTCAGACTCCCAAGTAGCTAGGATTACAGGTGTGCACCACCATGCCTGGATAATTTTTTAAATTTTTTGTAGAGATGGGGTCTCGCTATATTGCCCAGGCTGGTCTCTAACTCCTGGCCTCAAATGATCCTTCCACCTCAGCCTCCCAAAGTCCTGGGATTACAAGTATGAGTCACTGCACCTGGCCAAAAATGCCTTTTCTTTTTTTACAAAGCAGGAAAAGTTTGGGGAAAACAATGCCTTTCTTAAACATCCTTCAGCAGAGACTTCTAAACTATCCCCAGGAACTCCTTTCTGCTTTTTGTTACCTGAATTTTGCCTCAAACTTCAGGGTGACTTACAAATGGTAGGGAAAACAGGTGATCCCTACTCCTTTATCAATCCTTGACTAGTGCCTTCAAGCTTTTTTCTAAATATGCATGGTTTCTTTTTTTCTTTTCTTTTTTTTTTGAAACAGAGTCTCACTTTGTTGCCCAGGCTAGAGTGAGTGCCGTGGCGTCAGTCTAGCTCACAGCAACCTCAAACTGCTGGGCTCAAGCAATCCTCCTGCCTCAGCCTCCCAAGTAGCTGGGACTACAGGCATGCGCCACCATGCCTGACTAATTTTTTCTATATATATATTAGTTGGCCAATTAATTTCTTTCTATCTATAGTAGAGATGGGGTCTCACTCTTGCTCAGGCTGGTTTCGAACTCCTGACCTCGAGCAATCTGCCCGCCTCAGCCTCCCAGAGTGTTATATGCATAGCTTCTTTATGCTTGACTTATTGCCCTTGTGACTTATTGCTGTATGAATAAGAAGGAAATGAGACAGATGAATGGAATCAGATAAAGAACGGTCTTGGGATTATTAAACTACTTAAATTCAAGGTGGAGAGCCACTGACTAGGCCAATAAGGTTTTCCCTTCTTTCTTAAGATCCCCAATCCATTTCAGAATTTTGGAAACTCTGTCCTCACTCATAAAATACTCATTTCTACACCTGAAAAATTTTTTATTGTACCACCAATATGGGCCAAGGATACTAAAACCATTTATGTATTTCATTCATTCCCTTGAATATCCTGGAACATCAGGTAAAGAATTTGTAGACTATACACACTAAATCCTTTGACAATTATAACAGATGGGTCACTAACAATGTATTTTTAGTTTTAAAAAATACTTTTGAGCCAAGTGCAATGGCACGTGCCTGCAGTCCCAGCTACTCAGATGGCTGAGGCAGGAGGATCACTTGAGGCCGGGAGTTCAAGACTATAGTGTGCTATGATTGTGCTTGTAAATAGCCACTGCACTCCAGCCTGGGCAACATAGTGAGACTCTGGCTCCGTTGCCCTGAGTACAGTGCCATGGCATCAGCCTGGCTCACAGCAACCTCAAACTCCTGGGCTCAAGTAATCTTCCTACCTCAGCCTCCCGAGTAGCTGGGACTAAAGGCATGCGCCACCATGCCCAGCTAATTTACATATATATATATTTTTAGTTGTCCAGCTAATTTCTTTCTATTTTTAGTAGACATAGGGTCTCACTCTTGTTCATGCTGGTCTCAAACTCCTAACTTCAAGCGATCCTCCCACCTCAGCCTCCCAGAGTGCTAGAAGCAATCCTGAGTGCTTCAAGCGATCCTCCCACCTCAGCCTCCCAGAGTGCTAGAATTACAGGTGTGAGCTACCATGCCTGGCCTAAAAAATCTTCTTGATATTATAAACTGTAGTGAGATAGGAAAAATAAATTGTATTTTTGCAGTATCCCTCTATTCTGTCATTAGTTTGTCAGACTCAGATCTGAATCTCTAACTCTAATTTGTTAGAGATTCAGATCCAGCTTAGACTTATAACTAGGAAAGACTATGGAAGTATACAGAAGAAAATAGCAATCCAGGTTCATGGGCCCACAAGACATATCAGCAACCTACTTTTACATTGCAGTACAAGAAAGTTCTTATACTGCCTGACTGCTACTTCTAGTCCTCAAAAACAGCCTCCCACTTTCAACAAGCATGCTTTCTTTCTTCCTGAATGTACTGGGTTGAATCGTGTCCTCCCCAAAATCATGCCCACCGGGAACCTCAGAATGTGACCTTTCCAGATGTAGGGACTTTCCAGATGTAATTGGTTAAGATGGGGTCATCTTGGATTAGGGTGAATCCTAAATTCAGTATAACTAGTGTCCTTTTAGGAATAGGGGAAGACACACAAACAGACAAAGACAGGGAAAGAATGCCCTGTGGTGATAAAGGCAGAGGTTGGAATGATGCAGCTACAAGCCAAGGAACACCAAGGATTGCTGGCAATCACTAGAAGCTAGAATAAAGGCATGGAACAGAATTTCCCTCTGAGCCAGGGGTAGGAACATCTGACAACATCTTGATTTCAGACTTCTAGCCCTGAGAACTGTGAGAAAATACATTTCTGTGTTTTAAGCCTCCCAGTTCATGGTGCTTTGTTACAGCAGCTTCAGGAAACTAATGCACCTATCCAAAGAACCACAGGCCTCCAAGAAATATGCTGGCAATCCCAAATTAGCTTGTGCTCACTGCCGTTGAAGGGCACTATAAGCTTTGGCTTTAGACAGACTCAGATTCAAATTATAGCTCTGCCACTTAATAGTTCTGTGACCTTGGACAAGGCTCTGTATATCATTTCCTCATCTGTAAAATGAGGAAAATAATCTTTACCTCACACACACAAACCTTTTGTAATGATTAAAACATGAAATTTCTGGCTGGGCAAGGTGGCTCAGGCCTATAATCCTAGCACTCTGGGAGGCCGTCACAGGTGGATTGTTTGAGCTCAAGAGTTTGAGACCAGCCTAAGCAAGAGCAAGACCCCATCTTCACCAAAAATAGAAAAAAAATTAGCCAGGCATGGTGGTATGTGCCTGTAGTCCCAGCTACTGGAGAGGCTGAGGCAGAAGGATCGTTTGAGCCCAGGAGTTTGAGGTTGCTGTGAGCTATAGTGTCTGACACCACAGCACTCTAGCCTGGGCAACATGAAATTCCTAAAGTGTTACCTGGCACATACAAATTTTTGTAGGTTTTTTTTTTTTGAGACAGAGTCTCTCTTTGTTGCCAGGGGTAGAATGCTGTGGCGTCAGCCTAGCTCACAGCAACCTCAAACTCCTGGGCTCAAGCAATACTCCTGCCTCAGCCTTCCGAATAGCTGAGACTACAGGCATGTGCCAACATGCCTGGCTAATTTTTTCTATATTTAGTAGAGACAGGATTTTGCTCTTGTTCCGGCTGAGCTCAAACTCCTGAGCTCAAGCGATCTTCCCTCCTCAGCCTCCTGGAGTGCTAGGATTACAGGCATGAGCCACCACTACCAGGCTCTGCACCAGGCTTTAATGTGAGAGCTTTTAATGCCACAGAGGCACAAACCTTGGGGTTCTTTATTTTAGGGCCCATGAACCAGATCCCTGAGCATTAAAAAGCTGGGCTTGCTTTCTAATTCTCCAAAAAATAATGCCACTTCTTTGGCTTCATTCCTTCAACTTTCTCTTTATATAGTGAACCAGCTGAGTCTTCCAACTGTTGTGAACATCCAAACTAGGTTTTCCTGGATATTGTATCCTATTATCACAGCAAGTGTCCTGAATTTTTTTTTTGGTTCAAAAATATATGGTATTTCCAAAGGACAGGGTATCAATAGCCTTCCCCATTTACTATCCTTTCTAATCCAGTTTTATCTGTATAGAAAATATATTATCTGTGGGATGGCTGCTTCTCTTCTCAATTCTTATGAACACATTATTGATTAAATGTCTTTATTTTTTTTTATTTTATTATTTTTTTGAGGCAGAGAGTCACTCTGTCACCCGGGCTAGAGTGCCGTGGTGTCAGCCTCACTCACAGCAACCTCCAACTCCTAGGCTCAAGTGATCCTCTTGTCTCAGCCACCCGAGTAGCTGGGACTACAGGCATGTGCCACCATGCCTGGCTAATTTTTTGCATATATATTTTTAGTTGGTCAATTAATTTCTTTCTATTTTTAGTAGAGACAGGGTCTTGCTCTTGCTCAGGATGGTTTCGAACTCTTGACCTTGAGCTATCCACCCACCTTGGCCTCCCAGAGTGCTAGGATTACAGGCGTGAGACACCGCACCCAGCCTAAATATCTTTAAATAATAGCAGGTGAGGCTATTACTAGACATTTCAGGGTCCTGGACAATGACTTTAAAATCTGGAATGATTTGTTTCAGAACATAATCTAATCTCTGTCCTTATACTTCTTTAATAATAGATGGGACCATCTTTTCTGAACGATCTACATTGATATCTTATTTAAAAGAAACATCTTTCAACAAGCCATGATTTTTGGGTGTAAAAAAAAAAAGAAACATCTAAAGTTGCCTCTCTTAACCCTGTGAGCCACCCATCTGCCATAGGTGGTTATTCTCCCACACCCACTCACTCTCACCATGGGCAGGTGAGGAACAAACACAAAAAAGTGAAGGCACTTGCCTGTTACCATTGACAAGTCATTAGTGAAGTGACACTGGCAGTTCTACACCTTTGAGCTCTAAACCCCTCACCAAGAGTGATATTTACTAATATCTACTGATTCTTTCAATACAAAAATGTTGGTGTTTTTTCACAAAATGCACTCATTTATCATTTAGCTGTGACTTCAGTGGCTACTGCTTTTGGGAAAAATCACTGGTAGAAAGTAAAACATGGTGTCAGGCTAGAAACCATTTCAATATCATCACTGCAAGAATAGTCTCAGCACTCAGCTTACAAGTTTGACTTGCCATGCCAACTGAGTTCCTGACAGTGATTGCCAAATGAGGTGGCTATGTTCTCATCTTCCTCCCTTTGCCTTAAAGAGAATATAGTTACAAAGCAGATGGAAATGTAATAAATGGGAAAATTTTCAATATGGGGTTTCAGAGAATTTAGTTGTACTTGTTGGTGGTTTGATACCTATAGAATTAGAATACAGATAAGAGCATTGGGATCTTACTAGAAGTTGAGTGCTCATATATTTTTAAATGTTAATGCAAAGGAATGATGAACTGTCCAAACAAAATACATGACATAAAATAACCAAAATAAATAGAGGAACTATCTAGGTATTAGATCATGAATTGACAGTGTTAGCATACAAGTGTAACTAGACTAGAGGACAGGAATGAAAAAGGAAACAAGGGAAATTTGCTGTTAGAGTTAAGAAACAGGATGATGCTCTTAAATTTATAATTCTTTCTCCTGCTCTGATAATTAGGGGACTTTCTAATTCCTAGGAAAAGGCATTCCAGGACCAGATCACTACCCAAAATGATATCCTGCTTCTAGAGAAAAGGAAACTTCTGGAGCAACTCACCGAGCAAGAAGAATTGATCCACAGCAACAAATGGATGCTATCTTCAATCCAGAGCAGGTAGGTGCAGTCCTGCCTGGGGTCCAGTGAACTCCATAAAGAGGATGTTTCTCTCTCAACAAAGAAATGGTTCAAGAGATTGTCCTTTGAGTTTGTGGCCTATCCTATGACTCTTGCTCTGCTGTCTGCTGTTTCCAGCAGATCATGCAAATGGCAAAAATTGTGAAATTAGAAAAATATGGAGGAGGCTGGTTGGCTATTTATACAGGCTCTTTCATAGTGGCACTGCCTCACTGAGGACCTGGCCTGTTACTTTTGTATGTGCTGACACTCATTTTTCTCATTTGATAACTATGGAATCAAGGCAGACCAAGAGAGAATCAAGCTCGCAGAAGTGACTTACATTCAGGAAACTCACAGGATACCAGTGTATTAATTTTTAATGTGAAATATTAACATTACACACAGAAAATAATTCATATATCAGCCAGCCTGAGCATTCTTTTCTTTGTAGGATTACAATAAAAGTTTTCTTAATTACAATCAAAGTTTCCTTAGGGCAAGAATCAGAGCAAAGAGAGTGGGTTGATCTTAATAGGTAATGTCACCAATAATAACTATAATGATTAGCATTTGTATGAGCACTTAGTATATGCAAAGCACTGTTCTAAGTGCTGGCGTATGTGCTCTCTCTCTCTCTCTCTCTCTCTCTCTCTCTCTCTCTTCATTTAATCCTGACACCAATCCCAGCAGGGAGCCATTATTACTACTAGCCTTATTTTATGGATAAGAAGCAAAGGTCTGGAGAGGTTAGGGAACTCACCCAGCCTGGTCAGTGGCAGAGCAGCATGTAGACCTCAGCAGCCTGGCTCTAGACCACAGCACCACAGTCTAGGTAGAGGTTGCCAAGCAGACTGAAACTCTCCTGTCCACTGCTTGGACACACTGTCCTCTGGACAGGCTTGGAGAATCTGATTATCTTTTACTGTCTGCGTCTCCCTCTCATAGTTATCTCATATAAATCATTGCTCATCTCAAATCATATAGCTTCTGACCACTGGGGCCCAACACAATTGACTCATTACCCTTGCCTGAACATTAATTATCTTCCTGCCTTGTTCTCCTGGTGACACAATCTGGTCACCCGGATTAGACTTAGATATTTTCCTTAGAGTAAGTTTCTTCCACCAGGTAGTTCCTCATTTTACAGATAAGGCTCAGATTTATAATTTGCTAAGGGTCACACAGTGGCAGAATCAAAACTGAAACAAAAATCTTTGATCAAAACTATTATACTGCTGGGCGCGGTGGCTCACGCCTATAATCCTAGCACTTTGGGAGGCGGAGATGAGCAGATTGCTCAAGGTCAGGAGTTCAAAACCAGCCTGAGCGAGACCCCGTCTCTACCAAAAATAGAAAGAAATTAATTGGCCAACTAAAAAAATATATATACAAAAAATTAGCCGGGCATGGTGGCGCATGCCTGTAGTCCCAGCTACTTGGGAGGCTGAGGCAGTAGGATTGTTGAGCCCAGGAGTTTGAGGTTGCTGTGAGCCAGGCTGACGCCACGGCACTCACTCTAGCCTGGGCAACAAAGTGAGACTCTGTCTTAAAAAAAAAAACAAAAAACTATTATACTGTCATGTCTCCCAAATAAACTGTAGTCCTGGAAAGTGAGTCTATATAGTGGTTTAGAGCTAAGACTTGAAATCTGAAAGGTCTGGGTTGGTATCCTAGCTCTATGAATTTCTATTTTTATGTTTTTAAACCAGTTATCTTCTCTTCTCTGAGCCTCACTTTCCTCATTTATAAAATAGACTTCATAACAGTATATATTTCATGAGGTTGCTGTGAGGATTAAATGAGCTAATAGGCTGGGTATGATGCCTCATGCCTGTAATCCCAGCACTTTGGCAGGACGAGCAAGAGTGAGATCCCATCTTTACAAAAAATAGAAAAATTATAAACATTCAAGTGCAGATGTCTTTTTTATGGAATGAGTCAGGCATGATGGCATATGCCTATAGTCCTTAGCCCCTCAGGAGGCTGAGGCAGGAAGATCGGTTGAGCGCAGGAGTTTGAGGTTACAGTGAGCTAATGATGCCACTGCACTCTGTCTCAAAATAAATAAATAGAGGCCAGGCGCGGTGGTTCACGCCTGTAATCCTAGCACTCTGGGAGGCCGGGGTGGGAGGATTGCTGAAGATCAGGAGTTCGAAACCACCCTGAGCAAGAATGAGACCCTGTCTCTACTAAAAATAGAAAGAAATTAATTGGCCAACTAAAAATATATAGAAAAAATTAACCGGTCATGGTGGTGCATGCCTGCAGTCCTAGCTACTCGGGAGGCTGAGGCAGGAGGATTGCTTGAGCCCAGGAGTTTAAGCTTGCTATGAGTTGGGCTGATGCCATGGCACTCTAGCCTGGGCAACAAAGTGAGACCCTGTAGCAAAAAAATAAAAATAAAAAAATAAATAGATAGAAAGATAGATAGATAAAATTAATTAATAAAAATAAATACATAAAAATTAAATTAAATTTTTAAAATTTTAAATAAAAATATAAATACAAAAATAAATAATAAATAAAAATTTAAAATAACATTAAATTTTTTTAATTAAAAAAAATTTTTTTTTTTGAGACAGAGTCTTACTCTGTTACCCTGAGTAGAGTGCCATAGTATCAGCCTAGCTCACAGCAACCTCCAACTCCTGGGCTCTAAGCTATCCTCTTGCCTCAGCCTCCCCAGTAGCTGGGACTACAGGCATGTGGCACCATGCCTGGCTAATTTTTCTATGTTTAGTAGAAACAGGGCCTCACTGTTGCTCAGGCTGGTCTCAAACTCCTGAGCTCAAGCAATCCTCTCACCTCAGCCTCAGAGTGCTACGATTTTAGGTGTAAGCTACTGTGCCTGGCCTAAAAATTTCTTAAAAAGAAAAATAAATATAAATAAATAAAAATAAGCTAATACATGAGAAGTTTTAGGTGCTTACCATATAGGTGGGTTACATTGCCTAAGTACATGGTAAGTACTTAGTAAATGGTTGTGGCTTCTGCTGCTGCTACTATTTTTACTTTTATGTGAGAAATCAGAAGCAGATACTAATTAAGTAGCTACAATATTTGAAAGGACACAGAATCTCTTGTTTCAGTCCCATTTTTAAATGGGATCATATCTTTCCTTGAATTTTTCACTGTGCCTCGAATACTCTTGCACATGTATTTAATAATCATGTATAGCCCAGAAGCTTATTGACTTTTAGGTGGCCTTGGAATATGGTGGGAATTATTCTGCCAAATTTGCTTCTAAAATCTGGACAGTGGTCTAAGATCCAGAGCTAATGGGAGGTGGGTTTTGAGTAATGACACAGAAATTTCTAGTCATGCCACTGATTTATGCCATTCCTAGAGTACTTTTCCTGGATAAAGAAAATAAACAATTACAGGAAAATAGTCTCCGTTTCATGCAGCACATTGGCCTGTTAGAGCGAATCATAAGGAGCATCCAGATTCGCAGAGGAGAGGTAAGATGTGTACTTCCTACTGGGTCTTTAATCTGAAGTTTGGGTTGTTAGGGTTGCTGCGCTCCCTCTTTCCTTCATCTTCATATAGCTGCCTCCCTGCTCTCAGCTGTGGCAAAGAGGCTCCTTGGCTGCACACCAGGGCAGCAGATCCCAAGTCTGCTCTTGACCAGCTTTGCTCTTCACTGGGTCAACTTCTGTTAAACTATCTCCTCCTGTGTCAGCCCAGAGCAATTTGTGTATACCTTGTAGCTTCTTCCTTAGCACACTGTATTGCAGTGCTGTTTTCCTTTATCTCATTAGCTCAACAGTGAGATCCTGAAAGTCAGAGATTGTATCTCATATATCACTGTATGAGTGATATTTCAAAATTTATGGACAGGTTCTCTGTTCTCCATAGATATTTGAGAATGAATAAATGTTAAATGTTTTCACATATATGCTTCATTTTCAACAGCCCTGTTGGCCATGTATTATTCTAGCCTTATCTGAAAGATGTGCAAATCTGGGGCTCAGAGAAGTAGAGTGAAGCTAATCTGGTCTGGCAAGGAGTCAAGCCTAAGAGAGTGTCTGAGACAGAGAAAAGCAATTATATTCCCCAAACCAAGCAGAAAAGTAGCCAAATACAGAGAGATGCAGATAACAGTATAGGTCTAGACAAGGTCCAGAGTCTGGCTGATAAGCACATCAGCAAGAGGGACTTCAGGGAACAGAATTGTATTCTGAATCCCAGGTAGAGGCTGCTTACTTTTTTTCTTGGTTTATATCACCTGCTAAACATTTCTTTCCCAGAAACTTTACCATACATCCTGCTTGTTGAGCACTGTTGCTATAAGACCTACATCTTATTTGCTTGTAGAAAGGGGATTATTTCTAAGCTATGTGAATTATTTTGCCAATTTTGTCAAAAGTAGAACTGCCAGAATATGTGGCCTGATTTCCTATAGTTTATGTTTTTTCTTGAGCTACAGCTATTCTCAATTGTGTAGTCATTCACTCTTTTACTTAACCATTCATGCAACAAATATTTATCAATTCCAGAAACTGACCTAGGTCCTAGGAATACAAAGAGTCCCTAGGCCTACAGAGTTCGTAAAAAAAGGACAGACACATATGTAAATAAGTACAATAGTATTACAAGTGCTGAGTTAGAACACTTAATTGAGTATATGCTAGGACCAAGAGCTTTGAGATCCACAACGATACCCTCCAATATTTATTGAGCACATACAGTGTGCTAGGCCCCAAACTTTCCCATACAGTTTGGATATGAAAATGAACAAGAAACAGAGTCGGCCTTCACAGAATTCAGCCGAGTGAGAGTGACAGTCACATAACTGGCCACTGCCATACCTTCCGATAAATTCTTACAACGGCAGTAGGCCCAGAGTGCTGTGGAAGCAAGAGGAGTGATGCCTAAACCTGCCTGAGGTGGTTAAGGAAGGTTTCCAGAGTTGTTGATGTCTAAGCCAGAAGAAACTGAAGCCACATAAGAACTCTCCATATTCCAAATACCTTTCTGACACCAAGCAAGCCTGATTAAATGAAGGCAGTCTACTCACTGTTTCCCGAAATGCTCTATAATTTTCTCCCTCTGTATCATGCATTTCCCTTACTTGGAACAACACATACTGTCTCCCCTATTCCATCTTCCCAGCTTTTCCCTTTCAAAGTCCTTTAGTTCTTAGAGTTTGTAGCCAGTGGGGAATTTAAAAAAATACAACTTGAGAATGTGACTCAAAACTATACAATGGCTTCCTGTAGTCTTCAGGATAGAACCCACATTTTTAGACAGTCGTCATATTCTCTATGACCTGGCCTCTGCCAGTCCTACCCATCTCATCCCTCACTGATTCCTCTTTCCACTATATGTCCCACACTGTCCAGGTCCCTGGATCCTACTTGTCATCAGGTCCAGGCTCTTCTAGGAAAGCCCTCTCCCTCAAATGCATTCTCCTATGACTACTTTTCCCCAAAGTTTTCCTTGGCTGGTCCTGCTGTCCCTTAAACTCAATCTAAATATCTCATTTTCCAGGAAGCTGTTTTAAAACCTGGCTTTCTGTCATTGGTAAGTTTTCTAATTGTACTCTATGTGTTAAATCCTAGCTCAGCATTTTACTAGTATATGAATAAGGGTAAGTTGATTTATCTTCCAGTTCTCTCATCTAGGAAAATGAAATAATGACATTCAAAAGATGGTTGTTCCACACAAAAACTTATGCACAAATATTCATAGCATTATTCATAATAGCCAAAAGGTACAAATAACCCAAATGTCTATCAGCTAATGAATGGATAAATAAAATGCAGTATATCCATACAATGAAATATGATTTGGTCATAAAAAGAAATGAAGTATTGACCTATGCTATAACATAGACGAACCTTAAAAATATTGTACAAAGTGAAAGAAGCCAGTCACAAAAGACCATATAAATGGAAACCAAAGGGCCAGGTGTGGTGGCTCACATCTATAATCCTAGTACTCTGGGAGGCTGAGACAGGAGGATTGCTTAAGCTCAGCAGTTTGAGACTAGCCTGAGCAAGAACAAGACCCTGTCTCTAAAAAGAAAAAGAGTGGAAACCAAAAGAGAGCAGGGGTAGCTATACATATGCTAGATAAAATAGAGTTTAATTCAAAAACTATAAAAAGAGACAAAGAAGGTCATTATATAATTATAAAGGGGTCAATTCATTAAAAGGACATAACAATTGTAAACATATATGTACCCAACATTAGAACAGTAATATATAAAGGAAATATTAAAGGATCTGAACAGAGAGATGGATTGTAATATAGTCATAGTAGGGGACTTCAGTACTCTACTTTCATTAATGGTCAGATCATTAAGATAGAAAATTAATAAGGAAATATTGCACTTGAACTAACTACAGACCAAATGGACCTAACAGACACATAGGAAAATTCCATCCCAAAGCATCAGAATATACATTCTTCTCAAGTACACATGGAACATTCTCCAGGATAGATCATGTGTTAGGCCACAAAATAAGTTTGAATAAAGTTAGGAGGACTGAAATAATATTTACTATCTTTTCTGATTACAATGGTATGAAAATAGAAATCAGTGAGAGGAAAATATGGCAAATCCACAAATATGTGGAAATTAAACAATGTGCTCCTGAACAACCAGAGGGTCAAAGAAGAAATCAAAAAGGAAATAATAAAAACATTTTTTGAGACAAATGAAAATGGAAATACAACATACCAAAACTTATAGGATGCAGCAAAAGCAGTTCTAAGAGGGAAATTTATAGCAACAAATGCCCATATCATAAAAGAAGAAAGATCTCAAATAAACAATTTAATGTTATACTTCAAAGAACTAGAGAAAGAAAAAACTAAACCCAAAGTTGTCAGAAAGAAGGAAATAACAAAAATCAGTATAGAAATAAATAAAATAGAGACTAGAAAAACAATAGAAAAAATAAATGAAACTAAGAGTTGTTTTTTTAAAAACATAAACAAAGTTGACAAACCCTTAGCTAGACTAAAAAAAGACTTGTGCTCACTTCTGTAGCACATATACTAAAATTGGAACAATATAGAAAAGATTAGCATGGCCCCTGTGCAAGGATGACACATTTTAAATTTTAAAAGAGAGAGAGAGAGAGAGGACTCAAAATCAGAAATGAAAGAGGAGAAAATTGCAGGCAAATATCCCTGATAAACATAGATGCAAAAGTCCTCAATAAAATACTAGCAAAACAAATTCAATAGCACATTAAAAGGATCATCCAACATGATAAAGTTGGATTTATCCCAGGAATATAAGGATGGTTCATTACATGCAAATCTATAAATATAATATACCACATTAACAGAATGAAGGATAAAAACCATATGATTATCTCATTAGATGTAGAAAAAGCATTTGACAAGCCCAGAGCTAACATTTTATTCATTGGTCAAAAATTGAAAGCTTTTCCTCTAAGATCAGGAGCAAGACAAGGATGTCCACTCTTACCACATCTATACAATATAGTACTGAAAGTCCCTGCTAGAGCAGTTAGGCAAGAGAAAGAAATAAAAGGCATCCAAACAGGAAAGGAAGAAGTGAAATTGTCTCTATTTGCTGATAACATGATTATATATAGAAAACCATAAAGACTCCACCAAAAAACTGTTAGAACTAATAACCAAACACAGTAAAGTTGCAGGATACAAAATCAATACAAAATAATCAGTAGTATTTCTATACATTAACAACAAACTATCCAAAAATGAAATCAAGGAAACAATCACATTTATAATAGCTACAAAAGAAACAAAATATCTAAGTATAAGAATAAATTTAATCAAGGAAGTGTAAGATCTATACACTGAAAACTATAAAACATTGATGAAAGAAATCAAAGAAGACACAAATAAATGAAAAGATATCCTATAGTCATGGAATGGAAGAATTGAGATTATTAAAATATCCATACTACGCAAAGCAATTGACAGATTCAATATAGTATCTATCAAAATTCTAATGTCATTTTTCACAGAAATAGAAAAAACAATCCTAAAATTTATATGGAACCACAGAAAACCCTGAATAGCCAAGGCAATCTTGAGCAGAAAGAACAAAGCTGGAGGTATCACACTACCTGATGTCAAACTATATTACAGAGCTATAGTAATTAAAACAGCATGGTATTTACATAAAAATAGACACAATGACCAATGGAACAGAATAAAGAGCCCCTAAATGAACCCACACATTTACAGTCAATTGATTTTTAACAAAGGCTCCACAATGGGGAAAAAATATCTCTTCAATAAAGGGTATTGAAAAAACTGCCATGCAAAAGAATTAAATTGGAAACTTATCTACCATCACGTACAAAAATCAACTCAAAATGGATTAAAAACTTAAACATATGACCTGCAACTGTAAAACTACTAGAAGAAAACATAGGTAAAATTATAGGTCTGGGCAATGATATTTTTTATTTGACCCTAAAAGCTCAGGCAACAAAGACAAAAATAGACAAATGAGAGTACATCAAATTAAAAAGCTTCAGCACAGCAAAGGAAACAAAGTGAAAAGGCAACCTATAGATTGGGAGAAAATATTTGTAAGCTATATACCAGATAAGGGGTTAAATTCCAAAATTTACATGGAACTCAACTCAATACCAAGAAAACAACCCAATTAAAAAATGGAGGGCCGGGCGCGGTGGCTCACGACTGTAATCCTAGCACTCTGGGAGGCCAAGGCGGGCAGATCGCTCGAGGTCAGGAGTTCGAAACCAGCCTGAGCAAGAGTGACACCCCATCTCTACTAAAAAAAAGAAAGAAATTAATTGGCCAACTAAAAAAAAAAAAAAAAAAATATATATATATATATAAAATTAGTGGGGCATGGCGGTGCATGCCTGTAGTCCTAGCTACTCGGGAGGCTGAGGCAGGAGGATCACTTGAGCATGGGAGTCTGAGGTTGCTGTGAGCTAGGCTGACACCATGACACTCTTAGCCTGGACAACAGAATGAGACTCTGTCTCAAAAAAAAAAAAAAAAATGGGCAAAGGACAAGAATAGATATTTCTCAAAAGAAGACATACAAATAGCCAAGAGGTATATGAAAAAAATGATCAACATCACTAACCATTAGGGAAATGAAAATTAAAACTACAATGAGATATCACCTCACATCTGTCATAATGGCAATTATCAAAAAGATGATAAATACCCATCATGTTTCATCATAGTGGTAAACAATAAGAAAAAGAAGAACAAAAGATAAAAAATGTTTTAAAATATTTTTTTAAAAAGGTGAAAGGTAATAAATGTTGGTTAGGATGTAGATAAAAGGGAACTCTTGTACACTGTTGGTTGGAATGTAAATTAGTATAGCCATTATGGACTACTATATGGAGGTTCCTCAAAAAGCTAAAAATAGAATTACTATGTGATCCAGCAATCCCACTTCTAGGTATATATGCAAAGGATTTGAAATCCATATGTTGAAGAGATATCTTCACTCCCATGTTTATTAAAGCATTATTCACAATAGCCAAGTTATGGTATCACCCTAAGTGTCTATCATTGGATCAATGGATAAAGAAAGTGTCATATATATAAACAATGGAATACTATTTAGCCTTTAAAAAGAATGAACTTCTATCATTTGTGACAACATTGATGAACTTGGAGTATATTATGCTTAGTGAAATAAGCTTGGTACAGAAAGACAAACACCACATGTTCTCACTTATATGTAGAATCTAAAACAAACAAACAGAATGGTGGTTACCAGAGAGTAGGCGATGGGGGGATTTTTTTTTTTTTTAAAGGTACTCAAATGTCAATTTTATTGCTTAGGCACACATTTATTTGCTACTAGGAAGTAAAAATACAGCACATCAAAATTTCCTTTCATTACAATTTTTGAAAACCAGAAAATCTAATCAATTAATCTCTAGCCCAAACTACCCAATGTTTCCTTCAGATTCTTCTCCCACAAGTCACGGCTGCAAATTCTTGATGTTGAGTTTTATCACACTGACTTTAGGTTACTAAAACACATGGGAATACTTCAGACCTATTGGGGATTCTTTGGGTAAAATCAAAAAGTAAAGCTAAAGTATACTGAAGTTATTCAAATACATTCAAACTACACACATCCCTTATAAATTACTAGTATCAAGGTAATAGGGAAAAGATACAAGAAACAGATATCAGAAATCATAGATTATTATAGATTATATAATTCTCAAGATTATTGCTACAATCTATCCTAACAAAGCTTTCAACTTGCTTCATATAATTACCAGCAAAAAAAGAAAAGCATAAGAATAAGGTTCATGGTAAAATGGGCAGGATGTCATCATCACATCCCTATTTTAGCATTTTCTGAAGGATCCTATTTGTAAAGCACGCAGAAATTACACCTACATCTGAATGGTTTACTTCTTGATTTACCCTGAGTTTCCTCAAGTCCAGTGTTGTCGTCGTCGTTGTCTTCTTCTTCTTCCTCTCTTTCACACTGAAGTTTCTTGATTATAATATATCGCAGTCTTGCCAGCCTGTTTTTCTGCTCAGATAACAGAATCCTCACTCCTCTTCTCCTGTAAGGCATAAAAATGCCACCTTTCATAGCCTGGGTGACTGTTTCTCTTCTAGCCGGTGGTTGGGGTTGGGGTAAATCCTCTGGTGGAAGGGAACACATAGTGGTGCCAGCGCTGATAGACAATTTACTAAGGTTCCTTGTTAAAGTTTCAGAGAAGTTATGAGACTCTGAATTGTCTCGAGAATTATCTTCAGTGAGCATGTAAGACTCGGGGGTCAGGTTTGAGTCAGGCATTTCTGAGAAGTCCATGGCAGTCTAGTCAAAGGGAAACACTGTTTTAATTAGACAGGAGGAATATGTGATAAGTAATGAGGTGATGTATATGTTAATTAGCTTGATTAAATAATTTTGCATTACATACATATATCATAGCATCACTTTGTACCCCATAAATATATACTCTTATAATTTATCAGTATTAAATATAGAATTTTAAAAACCCTTTAGACCATAGCAATATCCAAGAGAAATAAAAACATATGTCCTACCAGAAACTTGTGCATAAATATTCATAGCAGCATTATTCATAATAATTAAAAAGTGGAAACAACCTACTCTCCATCACATGAAAAACTGATAAAGTGTGTTGTATCCAAACAATGGAATATTATTCAGCCATAAAAATGAAGTACTGATATTTGCTACAACATGGATGAACCTTGAAAACATGCTAACACTCTAAAGAAGCCAGACATGAAAGGATACATGTTATGTGATTCCATATGTATGAAATTTCCAGAATAAGAAAATCTGTAAAGACAGAAAGTATATTAGTGGTTTCCAGAGACTAGAATGAGGGAGAAATGGGAAGTGATTGCTCATGGGTATGGGCTTTTTTTAGGGGGGTGATGAAAATGTTCTAGACTTAGTGATGGTTGCATAACTGTGTGAATACAGTAAAAAGTGCTGAATTGAACATGTTAAAAGGGAGAACTTTATGGCATATGAGTTACTTCTCAAGAAAGCTGCTGTTTAAAAAAAAGAATATGACATTTCTAGAGTATATCCAAAATATATTTAACAAAGGAAAGAAGTGAGGTAAAGATAAGGTGAAGATAGTGTATATAGTACCATATAGATAGATAGATGATGTGTGTGTGTGTGTGTGTGTATGTGTATATATAGAGAGAGACAGCCAGACACACTGATGGGTGGGAGGCCAACCAGCTTTTTATTCTATCCCTTTTAGGCTTTTTGTTATTTATACTATTAATATAAGTAAGTGTTATATCTATTTATGTATAAATATATGACATATAAAATATATATTATATAAAAATACAAATATATATGTAAATATGTTTATTTATTTACATATTTATATGTGTATATATATATACACTATTAGTTCTAGGATCTCATTGCAATGGTTTTTCATTATAATTTTTAATAGTCATCTTTTCTTTCCTTTTAGGAAACAATTAGTGACACTCCTGAATTTGAAGCACTTAATAAAATACTGCTTTTACCATATTCCAGGTTAGTAAAGTTAAGACAATCATCTGTCCATGTTTGCTCTGGCAGAGAGTAAAAAAAACAAAAACAAAAAACAATCATCTATATTTCTGAGAGTCATGGCTACCTAACTGGTCCTGAGCTGCTGGCTTGAGAAAGCATAGCATTTTGGGATAATTTTTTTGACATTTATACTGAACCTTCCTCCAATCCCTTCTCTACTTGCCACTCCTTTACCCCTATACCCCACAGACTCCTGATTTAAGGTAGGAGATCATCCATGAACATAGGCTTAAGGTAAATTTTATTTGGTGTTCTTTGTGTTTGACAGTTGCAAAAAATTGAAATTCTATTGATGCCATATCCCTGTAACCCCAAACTGCTACCAAGACTTCTATTTATACAATGTCCTCACACATGGCCTTTCTTAGTTTTTCAGGAACAGATTTGGTAGAGTCAGTTGCAAGTCTTCAAGAGGCTAAAGATCCTAAGTCAGAAGAAACAACGCCAATCCCAAAGTCCCCCGAGTCTCTTTCCCGTTCACAAAATTCCGAGGCTGGATACATAAATGTGGCTTCTCTGAAAGAGACACACAACATACAAGAACAAGACCAAAAGTCAGAACTATAAAATCACTGATCTCTAAAACTATCCTGATCAAAGCGGCTAACTTAAAGCTTGGACACAAAGGCGGACCATGACACAGAGAAGAGTTACCATAGATCCCCACTCCATATCAACCAGGAGTCTTCCAAATTGCTGATGAATTCATTAAAGCAGTTCTAAAAATGGATTTCTCAAGTTTGTTTGGTATCCTTAAATGCCTTGTACTGATCACTATATTGACTATAGTTCAATGATTTAATTAGGTCTGTCTTCAGCAGAGTACACATATTAATTCAGCATTCTTTCCCATTATCATGAGTATTTTTCTTTTCTTTTTTTTTTTTTTTTTTTTTGAGACAGAATCTCACTTTGTTGCCCAGGTTAGAGTGAGTGCCATGGCATCAGCCTAGCTCACAGCAACCTCAGACTCCTGGGCTCAAGCGATCCTTCTGCCTCAGCCTCCCGAGTAGCTGGGACTACAGGCATGTGCCACCATGCCCGGCTAATTTTTTCTATGTATTTTTAGTTGACCAATTAATTTCTTTCTATTTTTAGTAGAGATGGGGTCTCGTTCTTGCTCAGGCTGGTTTCGAACTCCTGACCTTCAGTGATCCTCCCACCTTGGCCTCCCAGAGTGCTAGGATTACAGGCATAAGCCACCTCGCCCGGCCTGTTTTTCCCACAATCTTAACATAACCATTTTCATTTTAGTGTTATTCCCTTTTGGTCCTTATTCAAGTACATATATTCTAAATGGTTATTACCATATTATGTATTCATTTTCATAGTCTGATTTTTAATTTATTATACCATGAAAACATTTTTAGTAGCCACCTGATATTATATTATGTTGATGTTCTATAAATTACTTAAACATCCTCTTATTTGACACTTGAGTTGTTTTCACTTTTCAGTATTTAAGATTATGTTGTGATGAAGGTCTTTCTTTATGCATGTAGTTCTTCTCTTGAATTACTCCAGCAAACAAATTTGCAAGACTGGCCTAAGTCAAAGGATATAAATGTTAATATGGCTTTAGGACATCATTTGTTGCATTGTTTTAAAAAAGGGCTGTGCCAAAATATCTGTTTCCATATTCAGGTCACTCAACTTCCTCTAATTTCTTGATCCATAAAATCGGAGCAGTAATAGTAGCTATCCCATAGGGTTATGAGAACCAGATGAAAGGAAGCGTGTATTTAGCACTTAGTAACCGCTTAATAAATTCTAGCTATTATTTATTTTCACTAGCAGTTTCTGAATGTACTAGTTTTTCCACAACCTCATCAACATTGGATAATATAAATTTTAAAGATTTATTCTAAAATAGTTTGTATAAAACTATACTGAAGGGCAACTGCTGCTGTTCCTTTCCCCTTCCTCCTTTCTCTCCTTATTCCCCTCCTCCTCTTTCTTCTTCTTTTTCTTTAGTTGGAGATATAGAGGCCAAGAAGAGAGGAGAAGTAACCAGAAATAAAACTGACCCCTTAAATTGAGACACACTGATTTTTTTTTTTTTTTTTTTGATACAGGGTCTTGCTCTATCACCCAGGCTGGAGTGAAGTGGCACAATCATAGCTCACTGTAACCTGGAACTCCTGAGCTCAAACGACCTGCTGGTATTACAGGCATAAGCCACTGAGCTCGGCCTTGGAAATAATAGATATTATATTGAATGCATGCTCCTACTCTGTGCCTTGCCTAAGGTTACCTTCTTTCACTAAGTTCATTGAATGTATTTACTGAATACCTACAATGTGCTATTCATTAGTAGGCACTGCAGCTATAGCTGTAAATAAGACAGACTAAAGTCTCTACTTTCATGGAGTTCATATGCTATTAGTAGAGTATATGTGTGTGGGGCAGGGAATGAGAGGTGGAGACAAACCATATAAGATAATTTGGGATGATAAGTGGCATGAAGAAAACCAACCAGTGACCAAGGGCTACTTTAGATTGGGAGCAATGTTGCCTCTGAGGAGGTGACATCTGGGTTGAGCTATATACTAGAGGGATCATGCCTTCTCCCTCTCCCATTAAGGTCTGGAAGAAAAGTATTTTAGGCGTAGGTACCTGCTATTGCTGAGGCCCTAAAGAGCATAGCGATCTCAATGACCTCGAGGAACAGAAAGGCCAGAGCATAACCGAAGGAGAGTGGTACAAGATGAGGCCAGAACGTGATGGCCAGATTACTGCACTATAGGGCTTTGTATATAAGGAATTGGATTTAATTCTAAATTATGGGAAGCCAGGAGTGATTTATTAAATAAGCACAGAGTTATTTTAAAAGCTTTAGCTGCTCTGTGGGAAATAAATTGATGATAAAACTTGTGGCAGAACAGAAACAAATTCTAATGTCCTGACTTCAAAGAAGGGATAAGTATTTACTGAGCAAGCCTTATGTCCAACCTATTGTAAACGCGAAGATGAACTAGAGTTCCTGCATTCATGGGGCTCCCTGACTAGTGGGCAGAAGAAATAGCACGTGTGATGGTTCAGAAGGCTTAGCTGCAAGAGCTGATGAGGACCTTGGGTACTGCCTAGTCTTAACGCCCTAGCCGGAGCAAGATTAATTTGTACTGCGCTTAGTACAGCCCTGAGAGTGGGGTGCCCATCGACTTTCAGCAAAAAGAGGCCGACGCTTTCCTCTTTACTCCCTCGTCCACAGCTGCCAGCTCTAACTCCGTAGCAGCCCGGGCGCCCATCACTAAGGGGGAATGGTTCCGGGGGCGTGGCCCGGCCTCGCTCGGCCTCTACTGCGCCTGCGCCGCGGACAAACCGCGCCTCCGCCCCCGTCCCGGCACCTCTCATGGGGGCTGGGCTTAGGTTCCCCGGAACCGCGTGCTCCCTACTTCTGCTTCCGGGTCGAGCCATGGCGGTGGCAAATTCAAGCCCCGTCAACCCCGTGGTGTTCTTTGATGTCAGCATCGGTGGCCAGGTGAGAACCAGGCGGCACCCAGACCCGCGCCAAGCGGGAACTGTACGGGGTTAGGCAGGCGGAACTCGCCAACCCACACAGCAGACTCAGGAAGCCAGGAGTGAAATTGCACCAGAACCTATCGACCGGCTGGGCGGGGGGCAGGGAGGAGGAGGAGCCTTGGCCATCCTGGCGCCCTACTTCAGGAGGAACTGGGTGGAATGAAAGGTTAGGCTAGGGGGGGCGGAGGTGGGAGATACCCAGCGGCACGGCACGAGGGGTGGGTCAGCCAGTCATGCTCTCTGCCCCGTGAGGTCTTCACGGTCTTGGGCTCGGCCTTCTGAGCAGCCATGTCTGGTTGTTTGCAGGAAGTTGGCCGCATGAAGATTGAGTTATTTGCAGACGTCGTGCCTAAAACGGCGGAGAACTTTAGGTAAGGAAATGCTCCAGCTCTGCCGGATTAGCTGAGCTAGAAGCTGGGCCCCGGTCAGTCCTCCGAATCGTCTATCTGCCTCTGTCTCTCCACTGTCCTTGAGATCTTATTCCTCTGGTATTGCTCTGTCTGAATGGTTACCGTTTTGATTATTCCCGTATCAGTTTATGCTGTTAGTTTGTATGCCTGCGTGTCTGGACATCTAGCTGGCCCATTGGTGGGCTTGCTGGCTCCAGTATCTGTACTCTTCCCTCCTTAGAGATGCTCACAGCTGTGATGTCACGGTGACTGAATCGTTTACTCTTTTCCCTTTCAGGCAGTTCTGCACTGGAGAATTCAGGTCAGTCTCAGACGTGTTTGACTTTTTTGCCTATTCTGAGGGATGTCATGGGGCTGTAGTGAGAGTATTGGGAAACCACAGGCCTTGAATGCTGGTGATAGCTTTAGAAGGTAATATGGCAGGGGTCTATCCTTAGTTCATTTGCCTTCTTTATGTCTCTTCTGTCGACCATCTTTAGGAGAGCCCCTTTGGCTCTAGTGTGTTGTAACTGAAAGGCCTATGATTGCCTGTCATCATTCCAAGTCTCTTTCTTTTTGGTTATAGAAAAGATGGGGTTCCAATAGGATACAAAGGGAGTACCTTCCACAGGTAAGCCATCCTGGGAGCTTTCAGAAATACTTGTAGGATTAGGCTCTTTAGAGGAAAATAAAACCAGAGGCTAGTTCTTAGATCTTGAGAAGAAATGTTTTTGTGGACTCAATAACTAACTTGAGGGTTTATTAAATGTTTTAGCTCTACTTATAGTCTCCTACTTACTCTTTTTATGTATTTAAAAGAGAAAGAAACTATCATTCCAATGCCCTGTCCTTTTCATGCCCTTGTTTGTCTCAATATAGATTAAATAAAACTATAGTTGTAGTCCTTAAAGTGCATATAATATATCCCACTGGTTGTTATTTTTAAATAGTTCCTAAAATGACCATATATGATTGTCTCAGGATAATCATACTCCCTGGGTCTACTAGAAGTGGAGTGTGAGACTGCTCAGTCTAATTTCAGTATAGAATCTGCCTCATTGCCTCACACTGTTACATGGTTAGTAACAATGTTAGCACATAACTATATCAAGAGCTTTAGAGCTATGGTCTCTCATTCTCAGCAATACTCCTGTGAGGTGGTATGTGTTCTTATCTATTTTCTACACGGGAGGAAACTGAGGATAAGAAAATTAGGATCCTGCCTAGGGGTAATAGCTAGTAGTTATTGAGTCTTCATGTGTGTAGCAGTCCATTTTATATATATTCTCTGTAGTTCTTTTTACCCCAAATTTCCACCAAGTCCTTGACCTGCCTTCAGCTTTGGTGAATATTTTGGTAATTCTTCCTGCAGCATTTTAGCCCCTTCTTCCTGTTCTTGTTCAGGTACCAGATCATGCACTTAGATCAACAGTAAAATACCATTATTTATAATTGAAACCCTTTTTCATGGTTAATAATCCTTTCAGCCTAATCATTCCAGGAAAGGATAATCATTTTGTAATCCAAAATAATAAACAGTATATTTTGCAATCAGTGTTAATCTATTACTATTATACAATGACAAAGTCAATTTTTTTAGACCATAGAATCTTCTCTCAGGATTCTTTGCTGTCTGTTTTAGGGTTATAAAGGATTTCATGATTCAGGGTGGAGATTTTGTTAATGTAAGTACTATTCCTTTCCTATCAAAGACCTATAGGTTAAGTTTTTGTTGGTATTGCTGCTACTGCTGTTGTTTTCATTATAAGGACCCAGTCTTGAGGCTTGAAAACAATAGCCATGTTTTATGGGGGTGGGG